GATGGGATTATGACATAAGAAAATTAACAGAAACAACGTGGTCTCGAATAGCACAAGATAGAAAAATATGGGCGCAAATGAGCGCAAATTATAAGAACAACGAATAACTAAGACATCATCGAATAATAATAAGAACATAGAATAACATTGAAATAAGGGAGGCTGCACCCTAATTGGAAACGGTAGATAAGGCTGCACATGATGATGATGATATATAAGTAACGATGATTGAGGTAGTTTAGTTGATAAGATATATTCGTGCTGTAAACTTATAAATAAATATATTTATATAAATTAAGAACCGCTCGTTTTATTTAAAAACGGTACAATAATAATAATTTAGTTTTGCTAAACGACTGTAGACCGACCAAAGTAAAAAGACCTAATGAACTTCCATCAATGGTGGATCTATCCCTTGTTACACCTAATCTAATTGACCTAATACATGGGATCCTGTTCCCGATACCCTGGGTTCCCGATACCCTGGATTAAACTCACTTACTTATAGTAATCACTATTATCTTGGAATATCCACCATACTGAATAATTCCTTCCCCTAAATGAAAAGAGTCTCCAACAAACTGAAATATCTTTAAATGCCATATATAAAAAAACATTATCTAAAAATATAACCGATAATATCACTTTAGCGGAACGTTTTGACTTCTCTTTTTTTTTCGGCCAAAATCTCGAATTCCAGTCTGGTGGGATTATGAATGTAAAAATATTATCAATTCACGGAAACTTGCATACAAAAGTTACATAGAAGTATCAAATTTTAAACACTATATTAAATGCAAACAGATTCAAGCCAAATGTAAACTTCTTTTACAAAAAAAAAACAAAAAAGTGGATTAACTTTGTGAATACTTTAAACAAAATTACTACCATGTTACTAATTCCAACGGGAACTTAATCATCCTAATTAGTCATTATATATAATGTAAAACAACTGTAAATTTATAACATTTAACGGGTTTTGACCCATATATTTTGGTGTCTCATAGCATGTATACCTCGTTTACACTGATGATGGATTTAACAATCCGAAAACGTTCTGTAATGTAATTGTGATAGCCCGTTTGGGCATTTTATTATATACCTTTTATAAAGGATTTGAAATAAAAAATTTTGTGATATATGGTATACAGCCAGCTACAGGAACTTTGTTTCCTAGTGGATTGGAAAAATACTACCATCAGTAAAATTTGGAATTTTGTTAATCAACTAGAGAATAAAAATTATTATTTAAGACAATATCCTCTTTCAAATAACTAAAAGAACAGTTGCTCGACAAATTTGCTCCTCCATATGTTGACCTTCCTATTAAGGATAGCAGTAAACCTTGTAAATACCATATTTTCGAGGAAAGTTTTGAGATGAAAGAATTTGAGACTGTACTCAAGTCTGCAAATTCCTCGGCCCCAGGGTGCGATCAAATTACTTATAACATTAATTAATATATGAATTACCTCAAGCTAATATATGAATTATAGCTACAAGTGAAGAAGACAGAGAAGAAATAGTTATCTGTTTAATTCTTAAACCTAATGAAAATAAAACACTCTCCTCTTCTTACAGACCGATATCATTAACGTCTTGCATGTGTAAGACATTTGAAAGACTTATTAAAACTCGGTTAGAATGGCTTATATAACATTATCGGATTCTCCAAAGTACACAATATTTATTTAGGGCTGATGTTGGTACACTACATGTAATATCACATTTGAAGGGTACAGGGGAAAAACGATCATAGTCACAAAAAATAAAAAATCCGAAATCCATGCTGTTATGATGGCAGTATGCGAAAATATTAACCTCGGGCTGACATTACACGTGAAAATCAGACATAGTCCGCTGTAGCACCGAATACAAAAACGATATGCAGCGCGCTTATTTGGCTGAGTCAGTCGCTTTGTTTGCGTTGTCGAGAGTGCATCTCATATTGTTTGTTCTAGTATTTTGTTTATCTAAACAAGTATTCTAAAGTGATACTCCGTAGTAGTTATAGTTACCTTAGTTCTACCTCTTCCCACAATGAGTTCCAGTGATGAAAGTGATTCAGGCTTGTTTAGCATACCTAGCAGTTCTAAAAAGAGGAAAGTGACCGGTAGAGTTCGTGATGTCGATAAAGTATTAAGAAATTGTACTAATGAGGTTGAGGGTTATTGTCATTGCAACTTTTAATGGGTTGAAAACCTAGCAGTTCTAAAAAGAGAAAAGTGACCGGTAGAGTTCGTGATGTCGATAAAGTATTAAGAAATTGTACTAATAAGGTTGAGGGTTATTGTCATTGCAAACGTCTGAAATGTTTTGAAAATGTTAACGATTCAAAGAGTTCTCGGTTGATCAAAACCTTTAATGGGTTGAAAGACAGCAATGAACAAAACTCATTTTTGGCAGGGCTAATTTTTGTGCATGGAATTGAACGAAGGGGAAACCTGAAGAAGATGCTAATCTTCATGACTTTTTATATGAATATAAGATAAGAGTGTTACGTGAAGGCAAGCTGCAAGAAATAAAAGTTTGCTGTAAAGCTTTTATGTCGTTTTTTGGTGTCACTAACCGACGCTTGATAACAGTTAAGAAAGCTCTTGTGCAGACAGGTAAAGCTTCTATTGATGGTGGAACAACCATCCTTGTAAATTACCAGATAACACAAAAAAAGCCTTGATAGATTTTTTTTATTCTCTTAAGTGTAGAAAAGCGCACTATAGTCTTAAGGACTCAAAAAGAGTGTACCTACCGGAACATCTAAATATAAAAAATCTGATGGTTTTATTCTTGAAAAAGTATAGAGATAAGCATTTTGAAACCTCTTACGAAGTATTCCGCAAAATGTTTGTTACAAAATCTAACATTGCCTTTGGTTACCCACGCACCGACACGTGTGCGTTATGTGATGAGTATAAAGTAAAAGAAAATAGATTAAAAAAATCGCTAGAAAACGCATCTGCTGAAAATAAGGTTTCATTGGAATAAAAGCTGAGGAAATTACGTACTGAGATAACTTTGAAGAAAAAGAAAGGTGACAGTTTTTATAATCGTAAAAGAGAAGCTAAAAGAATTAGTAGAGAAACTGCTAAAACTGTAGCTATCGCCATGGACTTTGGCAGGTACCTACAAATTCCAGATATATCAACAAGTGAAGTATACTTCAGACGCCAATTATCTTTTTATTTATTTAATATCCACGTATTAGCAACATCTGAATCAGTATTTTACACATACACACGAACAGAGGGTAAAAAAGGAGCAGACGATGTTGTCTCAATGATAAATCACTACATAGAAAACTACTTAGATGAATCAGTTGATGAGCTAAAAGTGTTTTGTGACTCATGTAGTGGCCAAAACAAAAACTTTACTGTACTCAGATATTTCCACTACATGTTCCAATCACGTGCCCTATACGAGGCCACTCGTACATTGAACCCGATAAAAATATGGGTTTGATCCCAAAACGTTCGTCAGCCGAAATGCCTGAAGATTGGAGGGACATTATAGCATCAACAAGAGTCAAGCCTTCGCCTTTTCATGTTGTGAACTTTGAAAGAAAAAACTTTAAGCTATGGGTAAATTTCCTCTCAACTGAGTACACGAAAAAATTTAGTGCTGCAACACGTCCCATTCGAGGAGTGAAGATTTTGCAGACAAAATCACGAACAATTGAACACCGGGATAGCTGCAATGGAGCGTTCACTTCCATACAGATAAGGAGTGTGAACGAACCCTCCTCCAAAGCCCCTAAAGAGCTACAATCTTCATATCCAGAGCCGATACCTGTACCAAACTCCAAGTACAGCGACCTTTAGGTCTTAAAGAAGTTTTGTAGACTGGACTCCCTACAATAGCCTTCCCTACAAACAGCAAGGTGAAGAGGGCAACGATGATGATTATCTTTAAAAGGTTAGTAGGTACATATCTTGAGAGACTTCAATCTCATGAAAATTATTTAGAATTTATATTAGATAACTAAACAAGATTTATTTTTCAGGTTAAAAAAGACAAGACTTCCCTCAACAAAAAAAAAACATTTTTGAACATAAACTTCGTTTCTTGTATTGTAAACAACATAAGTTAATAAAATATAATCCATCCAAATTATAAAAATAATTCATGTACAATTAAATTACGTTAAACAAACAGCTGTTTTGTTTAAATTCTCCGCAGTTACAGGGGAATAATGATCATTGTCCATGCAGTAGTTTTTTTTACACTAGGTATAATAAGAAATCGATGCTGATACAAGTTTAGTATTAGAGTTATAGCATCTAAATAAGACAAAGTTAATTTTAAAATAAAAATAAAGTCCATAAAAAACATCAAACATTCGGCACAAGTCCCTAAAGTTTAAAAACGCTCCCCTGAAAAATTTACTTTTTTGTGACTCTGATCGTTTTTCCCCTGTACCCTTCATTTATTTCAAATAATGTTTTCCAGAATTAACTATCGTCGCTTTATTAAAAAAACTGGCAACAGCGCATGTAATTCTTGCATCCGATCTCCAAAGAGCGAAGGGCAGTCCGCAGTCCTAAAACGTTAAAACGTTTTTTAACGTAATACTTAACTCGTTAGTATCGTTAATATTAACCTTCCCTTGTGTTTATTTGAGTTTTTTCACTTGAGATTGGAAATATTAATTTTTATTACGAATCTGTTTTTTACTTTAGGTGACTTTCTCGGTTCTACACCTAATTCAAGATATCGGTAGAGTAAGTTGGCATTTGTTTACCGTTATAAGAATGCTCACATTTCCTGTTAATATCATTATGTCATTATAGATGAGAAATGTAACGGTATCTCTATTAGTATTACTCCAACGTTGCCAATCATCGTCGCTCGTTGCTCTCATACAATAAGTTTGTTTAAATTCGTCATAATCATTGTGAGATTAAAATATAATTAAAAATAATTCAAACATTCCCCTTATCCGATGTTTAGATACGATTGTTTTATTATTAAGCACTACAGATGGTTACGTTACAGTAGATAGTGTGATAGTGATAATAATTATCTATATAAACACTTCTGTATTGTGTAACTATTCAGTCTTGAATAGTTCATTTGATATTGTGTTAGTGTATTTTCGTCGAAAAATGGAAGGCGAGCGAATAAAAGACCTAAATAATTTATTGAAACCAGTTTTTGGAGAAAATGTTGAAATTTTAGACAAGACAATAACAAATCTCACTCTCCCAGGTGAGAATTACTGGAGTGATATGCTCAAATTGCAAGTAACGACTAGAAATAAGATCACTAAGGCTACAAATACCGAATATTTCGTCGCGAAATGTTGTGTGATCGATGAAAAGTTGCCAAAAGGTATTGCTGGGGATATATGCCGAGTGTTTAAACCAGAAATTGCCTTTTATAAGGAAATTATACCGACAATGCAGAAGTTTTTAAAAGAACACGGATTGAAGGAAGTGGAGATTTTTCCAAAATTGATTGCTGCCAGATATAATCTTGACGGTAAAGAAGAACCCGACGAGAACACTGTTATCATTTTTGAAAATCTTCAAGCTGCAGGTAAAGATCTTCATTTTTTTATAAGAATAATTTGTAGATATACAGAAAATTTCATTGTTCTATGACATACATTTTCGTCCAAACCGCGCTGCATAGTTATTCATCTATCCTCAATATGAAATAGGAGATATTGTGTTCTTAGAATTAGAGCCTACGTAAGATTTATATCTTTGGAATCTAAGATTCGACAACCTTAACATCACGGTGCTCTCCTGATTGTCCAAACATATGTGTCTTTCCAACTTTGTTCGTCTTGGTGCCTTATTCTGTGTATTTTAGATATAATTCTCCCTTTGTTTCTTCTAGTTGTCTATAACTTTTGCTGTCATCCATATCATTTCTATACGTATTATAAGATAGTCGCTGAAGTTATGGAAAAGTTGCCTAACAAAATAAAATCAAGGATTCAGTGATATGAAGTTGAGCTATGGAGCAGTAAAACTTTACGTGATGTAAACAACAAAATAGATATGAAATTATTGAAATGAAAACCAAATATACAATGACATGAACACTAATAGATCCATCAACAACCAAATTAGCAGAAAAAAACTTTAAAAGATATAGAACTGCATAAATATGGAAAGATCACCAACAAAAACGACACATGTGGTGTACCTATATAATAAAGTTAATGAAATAATAGGAAAATTAAAGGAGAAATCATTAGGGAAAATGGGAAATGACCAAGGAGAAAATAATTATAAACATAGAAGAAATAAAGTTACCGTGGAAAAATTAAGTGTAATAAGTAGATAGCGAATACGAATAACAAAGTTAAGGAAGCAACACTGTCCCTCGCAAATGGAAAAATGTCTGGTCCAGTTGTAGTAGAAGTGTTGTTAGACACCCACAAACTCTTTGATGATAATTTCGAGAATTTATTGAAAAATGATAAAATAACAAATACATTTTATGAATGAAGACACTTCGAAGACCAATAATCGATTATATAAAAAGTCTAGACAAATTAATTACTATTTAACTGGGAATAAGCCACAATTAAAGATAAAAATACGTTTATTGACGATTCAATTTCCACTTCGGAAATCGTTCTCAAAATACAAACAGTAAATTAAACAAATTTTGTTTTTTGTTACATAGTGAAAAATTCTTCTAATAATTTAATTTTATCTGACTCATTTATATTGACAATTCAGACATACATTATGCATTTTAAAGTAGACGACTTTAAAATGATATTGCCAATATTGTTGAGTTGCGCTCCTGGGACGACTTTACTTATAAGATAGTTCATTCGATTACATGAAATCAACTTTAACTTGAGAATATCCGTCAGAAAAAAATCATAGCCTGTAATTCGTCTTTAAAAAGACAAACACATGACATGACGACAGTAAAATTCTCCTGTTAGTGATTCCATAGTAAATTATGAGGGAAAAACCAGGAAAAAAACCTCATAATACTATCCCGACATTGTAAGTATTTGTTCGTGAATTTAGTTTACCTTCAACAAACATCAAAATTCTGATTTTATATGTTACGTTATTTAAAAAACATTAATGATGTATCCTCTATATGTTACTGACTTACTAATACTGGTATTTTCTTATTAATAACTTCCTCTTTCAATATTGGTAACCAGATCCTACTACATTCTGCCGAGGAATTTGCGACACAATTGGCCTCATTTAGCATAATTAGAGCCGCTTCTTTGATTTTTCTTTTTTTACCATCCGTTTCTTTTAGGACTACATTTGAATTATTCCATTGAACCCTATGTTCATTATCCCATGCGTGTTTACAGATTTGAAATCTATCAAATTCTTTATTTTTAATATAAGATTGATGTTCACTTATTCTAACATTTAATGGCCTTGATGATTCACCTAAATAAAACTGATCGCATTCACAAGGTATTTTATAAATGCAATTCTTTGTCCTTTCTTGTTCATTATTAGGTTTGGTTTTGGACAAAATAGATCTCAACGTGTTTGTTGTTTTGAATGTTGTTGAAATGTTGAATTTATTTCCTATCCTTTTAAGTTTTTCTGATAGTCCTTTTATGTACGGTATTGTTATTTTCCTCATATTATTCCTTGTGTATGCTGTAGTATATCATTTTAACACCTTCACGGCGGTTCGGGACCCCGAGGTCCTGTACATGTCATGATCTAAAATTTTTGTAGTAATCTTTCTTGACTTTCCCAATATTCGAAAGGCGTATTTCCACTATTAGTCAACAGATGTCGATAGTTCAAAGAGCGCCTTGTGTAAAATTTCGCGGCAAATCTCATAGTAACCGAAATGAAGTTCGGGACCCGGGAGACCCTAGCCGTATTATGATAATAATTTTGATCGTAACACGGTACGTACCGCGGAGGTCTTCCGATCTTTTTAAGTTTTTTGTCAAAACTGCAGTATTGTATTGATCTTTGAAGGTAAGTTATTAGTACCTATATATTTATTTATAGTTTTTAGACAAAAATACATTCAAATTACTATGTTTTGGTTTATTTTGCAATCTAAACCATTTTAGACACAGATGTTTTTCCATTTTTTCATAATTGAATACTGTATGATTCTATTTGTAAGACACAAGGTAGAATCTATATAAAATATATATATATATATATATATATATATATATATATATATATATATGTGTGTGTGTGTGTGTGTGTGTGTGTGTGTGTGTGTGTGTGTGTGTGTGTGAAGATGCTTTAGATTGTAAAATAAACTTTTAATTGTTTATTTCATTGCACTTTGCATTTTATACAAATGTATTTTTGTTCCAGTGTTTCAAAAATGAACAGAAGAGCGACCAAAATATTAAACCTAGCTCTTGAAACTGAAAAAGAAAACCAATCTTCTCAACCAAAAGTCATTGTACAGAAACTAGTAGATTATGACGAGTCACCTGTCTGTTCTGTTTTTTCGGAAGAATCTCATAATAATCCATTACAAGAGCAAAATGATATTTATTTTGGAATGGTTACAAGAGTTACTCATGAAAAAACAGTAAATCAAGACAATTATATCATGGAAGATGTGTTCGAAGAAGAAATGGAATATGACCCCTCTGAGAAGACTGCTATGTGTGAAAGAACTAATATCGAAGTATCAAGTGATAATGACGATGAGCCATTTTCTAGTGACGATTCTATAATAGATAGAAACTACATGCCGTCTTCTGAAGAAGAGTCAATTTCTGAAACAGAATCAGATTTATTTTCTGTCTCAGATGCAGGGGATCAAGATAATCAATACTCTGAGCAAAATGTCACTAACATTCAAAGTCAACAATGTGACCTATGGGGGCCTATTTTTCCGAAACTCGACCCATTTGTAACAAATTTTACACAAAAGTTAAATGTTAATATGAAAAATATCAAAGAACCGCTAGACGCTTACAGACTTTTTTTAACCGACGATGTTTTGGAACTGATTGTTAGAGAAACTAATATGTATGCAATCCAAAAATTAGATATTTCCAAGAAAAATAAGAAAAGAGTTGAATGGAATGATACCGATAAAAATGAAATTTTATCATTTTTCGCAATAATTTTAACAATGGGCTTAGTTCCTTTGCCGACACTTAGTGCTTATTGGAGTAGAGACGAAATGTTTCACAATGCATTTGTAAGTTCCATCATGCCCCGTGATAGATTTTTAACATTGCTCAAATATCTACATTTTTCCGATAACATGGTTGCCAGTGAAAATAGGCTCTGCAAAGTAAAACCATTGCTCGATATACTGCTGGAAAACTTTAAGTCTGTCTTGACACCTGGCCAAGAGATTATAATAGATGAAAGCATGATTCCTTGGAGAGGCAGATTGTTATTCAAACAATACATTCCGAATAAAACACATAAATATGGAATCAAACTATACAAATTATGTACAGTAGATGGGTATACGCACAATGTGATAGTTTATGCAGGTAAAAACTGCGATCCGGTTAATATTAGCAGTAACAGTCATTCAGAAGACATTGTACTAAAATTAATTTTAAGTTTAGACCAGAAGGAGGGCAGAACCTTATACGCTGATAATTTCTATTCCAGCATTCCTTTAGTGAAGGAATTGTATCAAAGAAATATTAAATACTGCGGAACACTTCGATCTAATAGAAAAGGGATTCCAAAATCTTTTGAAAGAAAGATGAAAAAATCTGAGGTGTATGGAGAAGAAAGTGGGAATTTAAGAATAATAAAGTGGATAGATAAGAGACCAGTTTTGATGATCACATCTGATGCCACACATGAGGCGATTCTTGTAGAAACTGGTAAAAAAGATAGAAAAGGGAATGAAATAAAAAAACCAAAATGTATTACTGATTACAATAAAGCTAAAAAAGGTGTGGATATAAGTGATCAAATGTCCGCCTATTTTACGGTTTTGAGGAAATCGCTAAAATGGTATCGAAAGCTTTGTTTCGAGTTGCTTTTTGGAACGTGTGTTGTAAATGCAGGGGTTGTTTTTCAGTTAGCCACAGGAAAAAAGTTGTCTATGATGCAATTTAGAAGGCAATTAGCTCGGTCGTTAGTTACTACGGATACTGGAGATAAAATAAATAAAACACCAAAACGAAAAATCCATACATTTGTAAAACCGGAGGGTAAAGGACGCAAACCAAGAAAAAAGTGTGTAGGATGTTATACAATGTTACGGAAATCACTTTCAAGTCGAGAAGCGGATAAGAAAGTTAGAAAAGTAATCAGCTATTGCGCTGATTGTACAGGTCAGCCAGGATACTGTTTACCTTGTTTCAACGAAAATCATGTAAATTAATTTTTAATGCATATTTGTTAATTTTGTCCAAGTATTTCTTTTATAAATAAAATACACATTTTTCTTTTAAAAATTAGTCTTATTTTTTATTAGTCTTAAAATTAGTCATATTTTTTATTATATTTATTTCCTGATAAAACCTTGTATTTAATACAGAATTGTCGACATTTATTTCACATATTAGATTTTTAAGAATATTTGTTTATATGAAAAAAACAATGTTTAAAAACGGCACTATTAGG